AAATTATTTCAAACTTCAAAATTAAAAAGAATTTTCAAGACACACGTTGTTAAGTTTTACATAATTGTGTACTGAAATTGGCAGATTATAAGAAATAAATTTAACGTATATCAGTAAATACATTAAAAAAGTATAAAAGCAAGTAACTTATTAAAGACTTCTAATTACTACGAAAGTTAAAATAAATATGATTTTATTTTAACTTTAAATTGAAAAAGGTTTTGTAGAATAAGAGGTTTTAAATTTATTTACACATTTGTGTATATTTAAATCTGAATTTTTAAGAAAAGTCTCATCTGAAAAGTCTCAGTCTGAATTTTTAAGTCTCAATAAATACATTTAAAAATATAAACTCAAGTAGAGGAATATAAATTATTAATTTTAATATTAGTTTTATTTTTGTCCATATACTAAATTGAATTTTGAAATCAAAACAATTTAAATGATACAATTTTTCAGTTTGTTTACAAAATTTAGAAATGTGAAGATTTACGGAAATACCACTTGTGAAATTAGTGAATACATTCGGAAAGTATAATTGCAAGTAGCTAATTATAAATTATTTCACATTAATTCGTTCTGTCCTATATTTATAAACTTTGAAATGAAAAAGAATTTGAGAGATTCAATTTCTGAGTTAATTAAATTTTTTTTAATATTAGAAGTTTTACTGAGATACAAAAAATAAAAAGTATCACAGTAAATAAATTTGAAAAGTATAAACCTAATTGTAAATTACTAGTTTTATTACTGATATGGTTCTGTTCTGAAAATTTCTTTAAGTTTCTGAATAAAAAGCATCTTTCAAAATTAGAAAAGAGTCGACGAATTATATTTTAGTCATTCTTTTTTACGCACGTCATTCTTTTTTTAGAGCATGTCATAAAATTATGCATAAATTAATTGTTTGATAACAATTAAATTTAAAGAAAAAACTTTATACACACGGAGAAAATAATTCTGGTAAAATTACCGTACTGTATGGTAATGACATTTCTCGTTAAAAAAAACATAATTTTGGTAATAAGACTCAAAATATACGGTATTTAAATAATTTATTTGGTAGTTTTTGCATTCAATGATAACGGTTTACCGGAAATTCTGTTTTTCAAAATTATGGTTCTTATTACGAAATATTTAGAAAAAATTGAAAAGCAAATTTAACCAAATAAGTGGCTTTTATGCTATGCTCTAAGGTATCATGATAAAAATGTCAAATTTTAACACAATCAATTTCAAACACTATGAAAGCGCTTCGGTTATAATTGCCGAGCTTTATGGTATTCTTACAGAGCAAGAAAAATTGTACATTTTACCATACTCTGCTAGTTTTGACTATACTTTTTTTTTCTCAGAGCATAGATGAAATGACTAAAAATAAAATGCATAAAATTGAAAAACTAGAAAATGAGGAACATAAAAATGAAAAACAAGAAAATAGGCAACATAAAACAACAAGATCGAAAAATTTCCAATCTTTTGAAGGCTTACCAGTAATATTATAGATTTAGTTGATTAGCAAAAGTAAGGTGACAATAAACGATCAACGAATGAGATCATAAATCATTTAAAGTAAGTTCAGTTTTAGGTACACCTACATATTGAATAGGCAATATTATATCAGTTATACTTGACAAAAGTTAATTGTAATAACCACTGAGTGGGCTTAGTATTTGGTCATTAACTACAAACTATACCATTTGAACTTTTTATTAGACTTAATATTTAATCAGAAGTCATTGATATTAAATTTTCAAATTCAAATAACCAAGACTTATCATATAAATAATTAAATAGTAACATCAGATAAATTACAATACTTATAATTAAACTAGTTAAATGAAATTAAATGGAATGATTGACATAAATAGAATTTCTAATTTTACATACATCGTGAAAGCTTGAAATCTATGAAACAACGCCTAAGACACTATCACAAATAACATAAAAAAGTGAATGACATGATTATAGAATTCATGACAAAACAAATAGTTGAGCTAAAAATATATTGTGTCACCTTTCTTAAGAAAAAGAAATATGCCGTGACATTTCTTGTTCTGATCGGAAACAAAAAGGTTTCAAAGGAAATTGGAGAGAGGTCGATTTCTGTTTTTTCAAAGGTTGAAGCTTATTTTTCAGTTATTTTTAATTCCGGAAAAAATAACGAATAACTAAAACGCCTATTTTAATCTTATTTAAGTAAAGTAGTGCTATATCGTAATTTACTGAATTTATGATAGAAGAATTTAATTAAAAGGAAGGTGGTATTTAATATAGAAATTATAAATTAGATAACTATTATAATTGAATGGTTTTTAAAAAGATGATATTAAAAAAGATGACTATAGAAAGGTTTTTTAAAAGATGATATTAGAGCTTAATAAAATAGTTATTTATTTATAAAGTTATTAAAACTAAAATTATGAAAGAAAATACCATCTAATTTCTGTAATTCCTGTATTTTAAATATCATTTAAAAATTTATCTAGTTTTTTGTTGCAGTTCTCTTAATATTTAGTATTGTATTAAAAATTGTAGAAAATATTTTTTAAAAAACTAAAGCTTTCTATTGATATTATCACAAGTTACGAGATTAAGATAATTTCATGCACAAACATAAAGTGTTAATTTCTAATTAGCTTAATAATCATTTCAAGAAATAAATATTTAAACAGGAGGAAAATTATTGCAGTGTTTAGCAATTAAATAATGTGTAATGGAAATCTATATATGCATTAAGTTCATAAAAATTTAAGTTCTCCATTTTATCTACAGAAATTTTAAACAGTTTTTAAAAGGTAATTTATGGTACATGTAATTTCCATCACACCCAAATTTTTTAAACAATATTTATAAGGATACACAAATTATAAATAATTTTGATCAAAATTAATTTTTGGATCAGCTAAATACTGAATAAACAGTAAAATTTAAATAAAGTTCTGAATTTAAAACTTAATGAATTGAGAGCATGAAAAAATTAGAGTAAATATATTGATCAAAATAAAAATATTTCGTATCGACAGAACTAAAGTTTTAACAATATAGTTTAGCAATATAGAACTGTGTTCATTAAAATTTTTTTGCAAAATGAAAATAAAAGTTTTCAAATTAAAATACATTTAGATATTTATAGAAATACGTAAAAGGACTACATAAAAAACATATTGCGCGGCAAAAACATTTATAACTATTAGGATTTTTTTACAGTTCATTTTATGCTTCATAATGTTAAAAGAAATTTTTTCGTTGGGCAAGTTATTAAATTAGTTTTAACTATTTGCAAAACAAAATAAATACAAAATCCCAGAGAGGAATGAGAGTAGCAGAAAGGATGTGGAAATACGAAATGCAAATTTTATTTTGAGGATGCTTTCGAGGAATGCTTTTTGCTGTTTAAATCAACAACAAAATTATAAACTAACGAAAATTGAAATTTTTAAATTAAGCTCATGAAAATATTCCAGTTTGGTGATCCTAAAATATGGATAATACTTTAGTTATTTGCATAATATAGTGTTGTATAATATAATATAGTGCTGTATTTGCATAATATAGTGCTTGCATAATATAGTAAATTTGAAAAAATTTCAATATTATTGTGCTCGTTTTAATTTTGTTTTAGAGTTCTTTGTACACTGAGAAAAATAGCATGGTAAAAACAATCAAAATATGGTAATATTTACCGCGCTTCTGGCTGTATGGGAACACCAAAAAACTCGGTAGTTTTTACCGAAGCATTTTGGTAACCACTTTTGGTAAAATTAAAAATAAAATATAGTTTTATGATATGAGATAAAATTTGGTATTAGTGGCAAAATTTGGTAATTTTATCATGATTTCTTAGAGCATGTCATAAAAATCATTTATTTGGATATATTTACTTTTCACTAATAAATTTTTTTAATAAATGTGTGGTATTAAGAATTATAATTTTGAAAACCAGAATCTCCGGTAAATTGTTCCCATATGAACGAAATAATTACCAAATGAATGATTTAAATACCGTATATTTCAATTTTATTAATCGGATCTACTATGTTTTTTTTAATTTTCTTTTTATTTTACCAGAGATGTCATTGCTATGCAGTACGGTAATTTTACCAGAATTTGATATCTCTGTGTACTTTTTATAGTTTCGCGAAATATTTTTAAGCAATGCTTTTGCTTATTCCTATAGTTATATTAATAAAATAACCAGGAATTTTCAAAGCGTATAAATAGCACTAAAAAAGAATAAATATTTTTAGTCATTTTTGTAACTTGTTTGTATTACATAATTCATTCGCATTCTTAATTTGTATCCCAAAATCTTATGGAAAAAATGTTATGAGGCCGTTTTGCCAAAAAACGATGGATTGTTTTTGCTTTAGGAAAAGTATTAAATGAAAAATATTTAATAAATAACATTAAAGGAATAAGATTGAATTAATAATATTAAATAAATAATAACATATTTTTAAGAAACTATTTTGCATAACCTCTATAATTATATTAATAAAATATCCAAGAATGTTACGGGAAAATAAATCGCACTGAATAAAGCTAGAAGAAATTATAGTATTTTTATAATATTCATTCATTAGGAAAAGTATTAAATGAAAAATATTTAATAAATAATATTGAATGAATAAGATTGAATTAATAATATTAAATAAATAATAAAATATTTTTAAGAAATTATTTTGCATAGCCTCTATAATTATATTAATAAAATATCCGAGAATGTTACGGGAAAATAAATCGCACTGAATAAAGCTAGAAAATATTATAGTATTTTTATAATATTCATTCATTTTGGTCAGTCAATCAATTCTATAATTTTTCGCAATTTATTTGTATAACATAATTCATTTGTATTGTTAATTTGTAACATAAAATCTTATAAAAAAAATTTATAAACAGTTGTTTTTAAAAGTGAGACGAAATGTTTTTGCTTTATGAATCTTTCTTTAGGCAACATATGAGAATGGTTTTAAAAATAAAGTGTTGCAGCTCACCTGGTAAGATTTCTTACTGCATCTTCTGCCACAGCAGCTCTGAAGGATGATATTCTCAGCTGAAGAGAAGGAAGGAAGGGGTGACAGAGGGGGTGTTGAAGCTGGCCGGTTAGGTTGGCCATTGTAGGGCACTTCATGTTCTACAAATTCGCGGTCCTGCAAACAGTCAAACGTAATTAGTTATACTTATCGATATAGAAGTTAAAATTTGCATAAAAAAAGCGCAACTCAATCTACAATGTTATAAATTTTGAAGATAATTGGATAGCACATCCTTAAAAAATTTAGTGTAAATAATACTTCACAAAGTTGAACCTTACTGTCGTTCTAACTAATCCGTCTATACGCACTGTAAAGAATGGACACACAAATTTTATATCAGAAAACTCCAAGCAAACATTCCATTTAAGAGAAGAAATAACTATCGCTTCTTTACTGGTATATTCTCCGAGCAAACATTTCATCAAAGTGAAGGAATAACTATTGTCCCTTCGACACGAAAACGAATTTCGTCAAAAGTAAAGAAATGCTTCGTCGTTCTATTTTTTTTCCAAAAGAAAAAAAGAAGAGAAACACGTAGTGCGACGTAGTATCTAACGAGTAGTTGATTATTTTTCCGTGGGCACCATACAGGTGAACTGTTGTCGCCCCAAAAACACTAGGACAGATTGAATAGAAAGAAAAATTACCATGACCGAAACGGGATTTAAACCCGGGATCATCCTGGTATGAGGTCAACTCCCTGATCACCTTGCTGTTCGCTGGATTTATTAAGCCATTCTAGTCTTGTCTTCATTCTAGTTAAAAAATCTCCCACAACGCTTTGTGATAAGGTTCCGAGTTCAGGAAACATTTTCCTCTTTCATTTGAGAGTTCGCGTTTTGTCAAAAATCAGGTAATTTCGTGGCGAAATGATTATCAAAACTTATGAAATACAGCTGAAACATTGCCGAATCGTCAAAATTGAGAGTTTTATTCCTGAGAGTGCTGTACAATAGTTAAACTTGAGTAAAAATATGGTTTAAATTAGCACCTCATTAAGCTTAAACATATTTTGCAAACCAGGCAGCGTTCAACGTATGATCGATCGCTTAGAGAATGTATAATAATTAAATATTGGGAATTCAAAACTTATTGAAACGTTGTTCAATATTATGATTCAATTCCACCATATTACAGCGTAAAAAATTAAGTACAGTACTGAAAACTAATTTTCGACTGCTGATAAAAATTTTAATATAGTGAAAAGGTAAGAGTATTATTACCGAACGATTCATGGTACTTAATAATATAATGTTTCAAGATATTAATATTAACTTGACAAGCTCGCCAAATAATTAAATTACAGTAAAACAGCTATTTTTGAGTCTATCTGAATGCATTTTTTGACAATAATCATAAAATGAAGATAGAGCCGATTCACTTTTATTGCTTGGAATTGCTTATCGCTATTTCATAATTCGATAAATAATCAGTAAATAAATAGAAAAAATTTAAGTTTCATTGATTTATTACTTTACTTTCAGAAATTTTTGGTGTTAAAAAGCTAATTAAAGATGTGTTGAAATACTTTAAAATAAACTGAAAATTCTAATTTTAGCGAAACATATGCTTTAGGAACAAATGGATTAAATGATTTAGGAATAAAAAAATGACTTAGGAAAAAAAATTAATTAAGATTTCACTTATTTATAAATTACTTGTATTATAAATAAAAGAGATAATTTTTTATTTATTTTCTCTTTAATTCTTCATTTTTTAATAAAATATGCTTTAGGTTTCATTCAGATCTAATATTTAAACTTGTATTGTTTTAAAAGTTCTCTTCAGATTTGATAAAGAGTAACAGGAAGTAAAAAGAATTATTTATCAGTATACTGAATCATTCGACAAATAAAATTACAAAGACATGACAAAAACGTATTTGAAATTCCACAATAAAATGGTACAAAGTCTATACGAAATATGAATAATTGAATTCTAAATATATAAAGATTTAATGTTTTGCTTTAAAAATTTTTGTTTGTGTTCTGGATTACTTTGTAGGTCTCGCTGTAATAATTAACTTTTACTTTTTTCACCCTCTATTTTCTATTCCAAACAAGAAAAGATAAATACAAAGAACTTTATCAGAAGAGTTCTTATGTAAACGCATAGCAGCCAACTCTTTCGGTTTTCACGGTAGATTTTATTTTCATATTTAAAATGGTAACGAAACTCATGTCACACCATTAGACTTTTTGAATTATAATAATAATTATAAATGAGTTTCACCACCACTACGTATAAATAATTACAACTAATATACAAAATCATAATAGTCTTTACGAACGAATTCCAACCTGAGTAAGATAATTTTTCAGTAATTGTTTTACTACCACTTGGAAAATCCATTCTCGGAAACAGAGGAAGTTGGGAGATATGTAAACGCTATTTCAGTATTTAAAAAGTAACAAACTAATATTTGTGATTATTTTTTTTGTTTCATTTCGTGCTTTCAAATGCGTTTTATTGAACCGAGGCATTAAATTTTTAGTTTTAAAGATAAATTTTTTCTTTTGATATATTTTTTCCAAACAATCATAATAACTTTGTAAAAGTTTTAAAACTACTGACAAACTTAAAATTTTATATATTCGAAAACTGAGCTCGATAGAACACATTTTAATGAATATAATAAAAAAGAAAACATTCAAAAATGTTAATTTGTTACTTAAAGAAATAGCATTCACATAATTTTCCTCGGGTTAAAATAAAATATCCTTTTTGTCTGAAGACGAATAACATTCATATAATTTTCCATCAGCTGACATAATACACATTTTCTGTGAATACGCTTCATGGTTGATCACTTCATGGGTTGACGCAGAATATCTTTTCGGTCTGAAAACGAATAACATTTATATAATTCTCCATGGGTTCACACAGAATATCTTTTCTGTCTGAGGACGAATGAACGAATGAATCGGTCTGAAAACGAATAACATTTATATAATTCTCCATGGGTTCACACAGAATATCTTTTCTGTCTGAGGACGAACTTCCCATAATTTTCTATGGGTTGATATTTTTTTTCTGAACATGAATAACATTCATAAAATTTTCCATCAGTTGACATAATATATCTTTTCTGTCTGAAGACGAATAGCATTTTTATAGTTTTCTATGGGTTGGCATAGAATATTTTTTTCCGGAAGATGAATAACATTCATATAATTTTCCATCAGTTGACATTATACATCCTTTCTGTCTGAAGACGAATAGCATTCTCATGATTTTCTATGGGTTGATAAAATATTTTTTTTTCGGATGGGAAATTAGATGAATAACATTCATATAATTTCCCATCAGTTGACATTATACATCCTTTCTGTCTGAGGACGAATAGCATTAATATATTCATAGGTTGACAAAGAATATCTTTTCTGCCTAAAAACGATCCTTAATAATGCAATAATTTTGATTAAAATAATAATAATTATAATATAAATAATTGAGATTACAATAAAAATAATTATGATATAAATAATTTTGATTATAATAACAATGATTCTGTTTGGCTGACAATGTTTAACAAACAGTTTTAAAAACTTTGTTATAGATTTTTCCACCTCTCACGAATTGGCAGAAAAGTATTATAGCCCTTAAGCAATGCAATATATTTCACAGGAGTTGGGAAATCAAAATAAAAATTTAAGCAAAAACCGAAATTGTAACGTTTTTGAAGGTATTGCACGAACTCACTTAACCTTTTGTTACTCAGCAACTCTGATTTAAGAAATATTTACGCGGATGTTAAAATACATCATATTAAGCGTGTAAAAAATAATGGAAAAATTAAGACCTTAAAATTAAAAATTTATTGATAAAAAGCATTTATGGAACATCTCCAATATCGTGAAAAATAGCACAAAAATTCCAATATATTTAAAACTTCATGTGAAAAATTTTGAAATTGTTGTTTTTATGGTAACAAGATTTCACACCACATTTTTCAATCCCTCCTTAGCCAAATATACAATCAAGAGGATTGTTGTAAAAAAATTGTATATCCTGCAATTATGTCGTGGAACAATTCTTGCTAAACGCATTATAATATTGGCAGCTGCACCAAGACTTGGTTCCCCCGAGTTTGCAATATTTTCTTTACCTGAATTTAGTTTGATTTTATAGGTAAATCCACCTCATTATAGGATTGAATTTTCATGTATGCTGCAAATATGTAACGCGGTGATACAAAGGGTTAAAATGCATGAAAGAGTAACTGTTCCTGCAACGAAGTGGACTCTTCACATACATATTAAATGCTGTCAAATTTAAGAATTTATCATCTGAAATTACAGTTCATACCGTATCATTATTAAATAGATCTCTAAAACCTAACCTACAAATTAATAATCCATGAAGAATTTGGATTTTTGCCAACAACACCGAAATTGCGAATACCCAGACTAAACCGATATTGTATAAGTAATGAAATAGACTACCATACAAAATTGATTGATTTCCCTTTTAAAATCATTTGTTTTGATGTATACATAATTGCAAAAAAATTATTTCTGAAACAAACACTAATGTTAAATAGCTTCTCTTTAAGTATTACGTAGTACATAACGTTCTTATAAATGATTGGAACAATTTAGCAATTTAAAAATGAACTAGCAAAGCAACATTCGTTAAGTTGATCTTAATAACTACTTGTGATATTAAGGAAATTGGTCGTTATATCCTTAATGTTTTTTTTTCTTCCTGAAACCAAATGGGAAGGTGTGAGAAAAAAATAATTCTTTAACGTATTTTCAATGTTCTTCAGCACTTAAATAATATTCCTTTAGAAATAAAATTATGGAATTCAAGAAAAGAAAATTAGGTAGCTTGCTTTCTTGGAAACTATTTCAAAAAATTAGTTTCAATCATCAGGATTGTATACATTTGTGGTTATTCTAGAGAAAATATTAAAAAGAGTAAGATTTTTTTTATTATTTCATTTAAATTATCACTAAAATGTCTCTTTTTAACTACCATGCAGTGAAATTTTACTTCAACTATTAAATAACTCAATATAGATCTTGTTGTAATGGTTTTAGATATTCCCTATCCACGTAAATGTAATAAATCATTCGAAGCTATGATTGCACTGTGAATAGAGCAGGTGCTTCTGATACTAGGGCCTAGATTCGAAGCCTGTTACTTTTTTTCCTCGCATACATAAATTTTTCTAAAAATTTCTTTTTAAAACTGTAGTTTTCTTTCAAATATATTTTTAAAATTCTTTTTTCATAAAAATAATGTTCGGAGTATTATAAATTCCCGAGACTTGGAAGTTTCTAACTTTGTACGTAAATTCACAAAGTTTCCTGAGTTTGTAATTTGAAGCTCATTGTTTGTAAAATAAGCTACGGCAATCGAATTAAAAATTTATGACCTTTTCAAAATCGCATTGAAAGTAAGAGATTTTAAGCAAATAATTTATCTGAAAGTTCAAATGATAACTTTTTGTTTAAAAAAAAGAAGCAGAAAAAACATCTTAAATTTTTTTTTGGATATATAATTATTACGAAATTCTTTGAAAATAATTAAAAATTTTTTAAAACAAGGTGAATTTAAAAAAATGTAGAAAATGGCTCGGCGTAAAAAAGGCTTGAATTTTATTTACCTTAATTAAAAAATCATCATTGGTGCTCAGCAACTGATAACATTGGGGAGCAATTTTTTTTAAAATTTTCTGTTGCATGAGATTTTTTTTTCATGTCTCAGATACTTTCGCTTTTCTGTTTTTAATTCTGAGTCGGTTTCTCTCTCCAAGCTACTGATTTTTTAAAAATGACATTTAAGTCTGGTTTTTGACGAAATGTACAAGCTTAAACACGTATATATCACGAGGAGTAGCATAAATGTTTGACAAATGATCGCATAAAAAGTGAAAAATTTCTAGGGGAGTCAGGGCACTTTATCATGATTAAAATTGCATTGGAACCATGACGGAAAATGTTGTGATATTAGGAGCTCTTCCCTTTTCTGAACTGTTTCTTTGAATGCTTTTGAACAGGTCATAATAGGGAAGCGTCCCTAGCCGCGTAGCACGGCATCTATGGTCATGGATTTCTATGCAATCCTGATAAGGTGTCCTATCTCCACTAGAATTTTGTCGCAGAACTTTTGTAATTCCTTGCTACATATAACGTTTCTTAGCTTGATTGCAGGCATTGAACTTTCGTTCTTAACCTCGGAAGATGCCGGAAGTGTTGCTCATTTAACGTTACGCAGTGGGCACCTATGAACCTAAGTCACGGAGGCGAGCAACATTGACCACGCCACACTGCCACAGATGCGCGTTTATAGGGGGGGGGGCACATTCACACAATAGAGAACAACACACAGAGAGAAACATCCATGCCCTGAACGGGATTCAAACCCACAACCATTGTCTTCACAGTCAGGCACGCTGACCACTCGGTCACTTGGTCGGCTTTCTAAGCTTGCAGATTTCGTCAGAAAATTATCATTTAAACAAAATCTTTTTGAGTAAAACTAATTTCAGATATCAAATATCCACAACCGAATTCGACAAAATCAAGCATTTGTAAAAATGCAACAAAAAAAATTTTGTTTCTCAATATAGTCATTGTATAAATACAACAAAAATTTTTTACTCAATATAGTCATTATTTTTTCCGTTTTTTTCAGAAAAAAAAAACAAACACAACGAAAACGAACTTTTTTGTTGAAAGTGCATGTTGGTATTTATTCCTACTTACTATACGAACGCTTTGATTGGATCGCGTTCTATCTATAAATAAATGAAATAAATATTGTAATACCGTCGTCTTTTCTAGACATCTTAACAGATGATGATGTTGTAGCTCAAAGATATCATCAGGGAAGTCCTCAACCTCTTGTCCACTCTCCCGGGCAGCTATTCTTGCTTCAACGGCTTTCTTTTTACTCACAAAAGCTGCACCTGTAGTCGCTTTAGCAATTCTAATACGAGCCATTCGGGCTTTCTGCAAATAATAAACAAGAAATTGTCAGTCATGGTCACACTAATTATAAAATTGGCTTTAAGTTCTATTCTAAAATATTGTATAGATAATATTCCAATTGTATAATAATATTCTTTTAAACTATTGATTAAAATTGATCTTTTTTTCCTCAGCAAGATCTTAACATTTTACAGTTACAGTTGTATTAACTTTAAAGATAATTTTGTCGGAAACAGAAAATCTTTGTGTCTTATACTCACAGTTGTATTGATAGTTTTTTGCAAGAAAGATCTTTCCATTTTACACTTGTTACAGTGACCTTGTCAAGAGTTTTGTATGGGCAAGATCCTCATATTTTACTCTTACAGTTGCATTAAAGTTTAAAAATTGTTTTGATGTATTCTTGATCACTTGTAATTGTTATTGATCTTGTCAAGAGTGTTTTAAGAGCAAAGATCTTTACATTTTGCCCTTACAGTTGCATTAAAATTCAAATATTGTTTTACTTGTACAAAAAATCTTTATATTTTACATTTGTAGTTGCACTGACCTTGTCATGAGTTTTTCACGAGCAAGATATTTACATTTACTGATGTATTAAACTTTAAAGATTGTTATGCAGGCTCAAAAAATTCTTCATTTTACTCTTGTAGTTGTATTAATTTTTCAAAAGTTTTTTTGTTGGCTTTGTATTTACATTGTGTGCCACTAAAGTTAAAGCTTTTTCTTAAAACTATTATTCTATTCCAATAAGTTGCTCGAAGAGTAAATTCATTTTTTAAAATAAATAATGTACATTTTTTTAAACAAAAATCAAATTTTAGTTATTTTTAAAACCATTCATTAGAATTTCAATGTTAATATGTCATCCATTTTAGGGGTATAGAGAGAAAGTTTTTATGGGTTGTTAGTTTTCAGTACTTCTATAATCGACACCTTGTAAAAACAGAACAATAAAAGAAAACAAGAAAATCTGTTATCAATCACTTTTGTTTATACTGCTAAACACATTTTACTATTCATACCTGAAATTCTCCCATCTTATTAAGATAAAATTAATATATAGTTTTTTACAAAAATATAATAATTTTTATTTTAAAACGTGCATATCCCTTATGCATTTTCTAAAATTAAAAAATATTTGCAAGAATAAATTCGAGAAACATTACATGTATATTTTTAATTTTTATGATTATATGAATCGAGTCTTTCGTTTTAGTATTTACTTATTATGTTTTATGGGAATGACTAAATAATATGTCCAATAATACACAATAAATAAAAATCAACTGTGTATTATACACGCCAATAAAATATTTTCTAACTCTCTTATCAAGTAAACACAGCTAACATATGTTGATAACTCATTGTTAAAAATAAAATACGCATAAAAAATAAAAAAATGACTAATCAAAGTTAACGATAATTCAAACAAATGATCATATGAATAATAATTGACTAAATGCTAATGAATATTAATATGACTACTAATATCAAATGGATATTTAAATGAATTATATCAAAATAAAAACTATTTAATTACATTAAAATATTGAAACCTTATTTATTCCTTTTTAAATTTCGATAAATGCCAGCATAAGTTTGCAAGCCAAATCAACTTAATAAAGATAAATGTGAATGAAAAGGGGAACATGATCTTAAATATTTTGAGAGCTGAAAGAAGAAGAATTTTATAGACAATTTAATTTTAGGTAAAATAGTAAAAAGGGAGCTTTTTAAATTAATATTAACATATATTTAGATGTTTAAGCAATTTTGAAATTTATTTATTTTGTTTATTTCATTTTTTATAAGAACATTGAGTAAATGTTTTATTTTTTATCAACTTCCATAGAAATAAAAAATATTCAATAAGCTGGTAAATAGATAAAAAGAAAAACAGAAATTTTTTTTAAAAATTTTACTGAGATAATTGTGATTTTAACTTCTTTGAGTACTTTTTTATTTAAGTGCTTTCAATACTATGCCATGAGATAAATTCATAATTATTTCTGCATAATCCCTACATGTTTTTGAACTTGGAAATTTTTAAGAAACGATTTCTTATGGGGGTAAAGATAGTTCAACAGCCATAAGTCCACAAAAGTGAGATACACTTAAATCTCCTCCGTTGCTTCTGTTTGACACATATTTCTACATTACAGTCATCATTAATAAAGTAAAGTACACGAATAAAAATTTTTGACTAAAAAGTTGGAAAAAACCTGACCAGTTATTCAACAATAACATAAAGTCCTGTAGGAAAAAAACAAGTTTTACCATAGCTCTATAGCATAAACTAGAATATTAATTGCAAGCCTAATTATTTTAAATCATTCCAGAAAATGTTATAATAAACAATATAATTAATTTCTTCAATGTATTTAATTAAGTGAACTGTTTGAGGACAAATAAAAGCATTTTGTTTTCCTTGTACCGGTGGCTAATTTACTATCCAGCATTCTTTAACCACTTGCTCTGTTTTTTTCCTCTTGGCTGTAGTTGGTCCCAATTATAATAAACTTTTATTTATTCTAAAATTTGTTAACTGAACTAAAAGAATATCAAGAAACAAGAATATTGCTTCTTCAAAATATTGCTAAACAGGGAAGGGGGTCGTTAAAAGCCCTTGGATTGGAAAATCGCGCATCTGTTTAAGGTATAACATACAAACACTTTTTTGATTTTGTTAGGACTAGCAAAAAACAAAAATAATCTGCTCTTTGAAATATTCTATTTTATAGAGTACAATATTTTGGTACTTCCCGATCTTAGTTTTGATTTCAAATGTGAGTACTTAAGGATTTCATTTTCCAATCTTGGGAAAATTGAAAATAAAAAAAAGGTACTTTAGCACATGCTTGGTAAACTTGAAATGGTTCACAATGCAGCTGATTATATATGTTATTACAGGTAACAACTTTATACACGGAATGCACGGTTTTTTCCTCTACAGAACGCGAATATTCACACTAGTACACCAAGATATATGCAATCCAAGGTTACATTTTCTCTCACTTATTATGTGCTTATTTAGAATTATGTGCTTAACTAAACTGTGCTTCCCTTTTCTTTTCACATTTCCTTTCGATAATCTATAATGCGGAGCGTGTAATTATATACTCATACAAAAAGAGTGTCATATAATAATATGAGCTTTAGGTAAATATAATTATTGATATAGAAAATGTCAAAAAATATTGTTAATTAAACCTGTTAATTAACAGCTTAAATAATAGAAAATTTTTACTAGTTTAAACATATTCATCAAAAGAAAAACACCGTTGCGTTCAAAGTGTTACAGCAATTTACAAACATTTAAATTCTTTCGTGTTTTAAAGTTTTTCTCACATATAAATATTATTCTACACGTGTTTTTCAAATGTACAAAAATAAACAAATAGTTTTAATGTAATCTCATTTGTAAAGATATTTCACCTTAATTACACGATTTATCAACTGAAGAAGTGTGTGAATTTTGAATGCATTTTATGTGTGTAAGTATATATTTTACTCTTTTATTCTTTTTATTTTTCACTTCTTTATAATGCATAATTATTTAAAACAAATTATTATCTCTGTAGAAAATAATTTGAGAATTGATTCGAATTTATGCTTAACATTTCAGCTGGGAGGGCTGAGTTTGTTCAACTATATACAATACTATCGAAATATATTGCTCTCCATTCTTTTAACATTGCTTCCTCAAAAATCTAGAATATTGAAAATCATAATAAGAACTATGCACAGGTGTTAGACTCCGATCCGGAAGGGCCTGGGTTCGATCCTCGTCTCCGCTAAGACACAGAGAGTACATGCTCGAAAAAACTGTGGAATCCAAATTCCTGTGGTCGGTCGCTGAGCTGCAACATGAGTACACACGGAATACGTGGGATTTTGAGCTAAGACGTATTGTTACCCTTGCGGTGCTCTCTCATCAAACGAATAGGCCCATTTTTCTGACTTAATTCGCATAAGGACAATGGATGGTGAAGCTTGGCTTGTCCAAGGGCCATTAGAAACAGCAATAACGAAACTATGCACTCTAACAGTAATAATAATTATCTTTCCGGAAAAATCCGAAACAGTTTATTTATTTTCAAAGCAAACTTTTATAAATACTATTTAATTCTAGTTCATATAAGTTAATTCTAGTTCATACATATTCATCATAATAAAATCCTAAGACGTGTATAAAGTACAATAGAAAGTTTCAAATATTTAAATTCTTTCACGTTTTCAACAGTACCATTCAAGATCTCTTTTCGGTGATGAAAATCTTCCTTTCTTAAAAGAAAACTCTCATGTGGCAAGTCTGAATATATTTGAAGGAAACATATTAGGGTATTCACAAGGGATACAACTATTTACGTATGCTATTTATGCTGTTGGCGCATTTATTCATTTTATCTGATTACAGAAATTATTTCTCCGAGAAAATATCGGTCATTTGTAGGAAACACAAATTAAAGTTTTGTTGTTAGAGTAATTGTTTGGATGTAATGTAAATGGAAATCTTGCTTAGCCTTTTATTCAGTGTAATTTTCTGGAAAAAGAGGAGAAATGTTTCGGGATTAATATACCATTTATGGAAAGAAAAACTACTAATTTTCTTTGAAGCTTAGCTTTGTTTTTATTATAAATTGTTTGTTAAATAGGAGTATATTTTATGTGTTTTGCGAATTAGTTTAAATATTAAATCAAAAGTAAATGGTTGAATTAATTATTTCTAACTTGCGAATTTCAACTTATAGAATAACAAAAAATTGTTCGGTATTGAAAATTATTTCAGAAACTAAGAAGATAAAACGATTTTTTATTCAAAGAATTTTTTAATCCAATTTTTTTGTAATTGATTATGGCGGTACCTTACATATACACTGTTAGAAATTTCTCAGAAAAAATGGATAAATAACAATTTATTTAATTGTTATTTAACCGTGATCAAGCAAAACAGTCAAATGACTATAAATTAGATGGTAACTAACTGTTAACTGTGAGAAAAACCGTTTATTAACTGC